GTAGTAAATGGCAGAGGATCTGACGTTGTATCTTTGATGGATAAAGGAATAGGATTGTTCGGTTTGGTTGTATTACCTTTGTAAGGCAAAAGGTGGTGTCGATTCCTTCTCAACGTAGTGTTTCCTGTCTTAACCCAGTATGACCTTGGCTCTTGTCCTAAGCTGATAATAATACCCTCTCTTTTTAGGTCTTGGATCCATACTTTTTTACCTACAGGCAGCGATGGAAGTTCTTTTGTAGCGTAGCGCCTATCGTAGTTTCTCTTGTAAGATGCTTTGTAAGTATCTTCTTTTTCCTTTAGTTGAGAGAGATCGGGTTTGATTTCAAGTTTTTTAGGTAAAACAGGCAGGTTATCTCGCAGTGATCTGTTGTATATTAGCTGAGCAGGACTGTATCCACTTGTGGATAGAGGTGTATTGCGGTAGGTTAGGAGGGCTAAATATGGGTCGTCTTTGTTTTTCTTTAGTACACTCTTCGCTATTTTGACTGCAGCTTCAGCTGCACCGTTACTTTGGTGGTAGCTTGGACTGCTCGTCACAAGTTTAAAGTTATAGCTTTGAGCAAACTTTTTGAATTCAGAGTTTTCAAGACCAGTGTATCTGGTAGCAAACTGTGTACCACAATCAGATCGTAGCTCAATTGGTATACCGTGACGGCAGAATACAGATTTGCATTTTTCGATTATTTCAGCAGTTGACAGGTTCTTTAATGTAGCTATTTCAAAATAACGTGAAAAACAGTCAGTGATTACTACGAACCATGTTCCTTCAAGTTTAAAGAGATCAATCGCTGCCTTTTCCCAAGGACGAGATGGAAGCTCACTGGGCAAAAGGGGTTCATGATGTTGTGTTCTATGTTCAGTACATTTGGGACAATCATTAACAAATTTCTCAATGTCAAGTGACATTCCTGGCCACCACATACTATTGTTGGCTCTAAGTCGACATTTCGTTATGCCTAGATGGCCTGTATGTATTCTTGTCAACATTTCTTGTCTAAGAGTTGTCGGGATTATGAGACGTTCTCCTCTAAGCAATAGTCCGTCACAAAAAGAGATTTCATCCCGAACTGTGAAGTATGGCTTAAGATTATTGGGAATCTTAGTTTTATCAGGCCATTCAGTTGAGCAGTAAGATTTAATTACCCTGAGTTCTGAGCTAGCCCGCTGTGCCGATGCAATTCTATCAAGAACCATGTCAGTTACATAGGCAATGTTTCTTGTTACTGTGTGGATGGCCAGTTCAACTTCCTCATCTAAATCATAACTCTCATTAGCTGCTACAGGACTTCTTGAGAGACAATCAGCAGTGGCTAAATGTTTGCCAGGAGTGTATGTCACATTGTAGGAATATCTCATCAGACGAAGTCTTAGTCTTTGAAGACGGGGAGTCATATCATTGATCTCTTTAATAGTCAAAATACTTACCAAAGGTTTGTGATCTGTTTCTAGCGTGATGTGCTTGCCCACAATGTAGTCTTTAAACTTGTCACAGCTCCATGTTAATGATAGAGCTTCTCGTTCAATGTTAGAGTAGTTTCGTTCGGTTTCGCTCAGAGTGCGTGAAATATAAGAAATAGGCTTCCAATTCCCATCTGATTGTTGTTGTAAAAGTACTCCACCCAGGCCTTGTGTAGAAGAGTCAGCAGAAATCATGGTCGGTTTATTTTTATCATAGAATGCAAGTTGAGGTGGAGAAGCCAATAATTCTTTCAATTCATCGAATGCTTTTTGTTGTTCACAACCCCAACACCATTCGTTTTTTCTACTTAGTAGGTCGGTAATGGGTTTTAGTAACCGGCTTTTGTTAGGTATGTATTTGCCAATGAAGTTCACCATACCAAGTAACCTTTGAACTCCTAAAATATCTGTTGGAGGAGCCATTTTTCGTATAGCTTCGACTTTGGTCTCATCGACTTTGATTCCTGATTCAGATAAATGGTGACCTAAGTAGGTTAGCGAGGTTTGAGAGAACAAGCATTTGTCTTTGTTTAGGGTGAAGCCAGCACCTTCAAGTTTGGTAAGTACTTCTTCTAAGAAATAGTCATGTTCTTGTTGAGTTTTCCCCCAAACAATTATGTCGTCCATATGCGCAAGTGCATTCATTTGACCTTTAAGGGTTCGATTCACGCATTCTTGGAACACTTCTGGTGCAGATGTTATTCCAAAGGGTAGTTTCAGAAATTTAAAACGTCCAAACGGTGTCAGGAACGTTGTCAAATCTTGGGATTCTTCGTCCAATGTGATCTGCCAGAATCCGTTATTAGCATCCAATTTAGAATAGCATTTTGCTTCTGAGATTTGGGCAAGTGTTATGTCGATGGGTTGAATAGGATAGTATCTTCGTTTGACGCATCTGTTTAATTTAGTAAGATCTACACAAATGCGAACTTTGTTAGAGTCCTTCTTTGGCACAACAACCATTGGAGAGCACCAGTCTGTGGCATGGTGTACCTCAGCGATCACCCCCATTGACACCATTCTTTCAAGCTCTTCTTTAGTAGATTCCCAAAGAGGAAGAGGAATCCGACGAGGCGTGTTGATTGCAAATGGATTGGCGTTATTTTTCAGTTCTACTTTGTATTTGACATCAATGGAACCTAAGCCTTCAAACAGTTTGGGGTGTCTGTCATACCAGTCATTACTGGATGGCTGTATTTCGTTGATTCGAGCAAGTAACTGCAAACTTGTTATTGCAGGTTTACCTAGAAGTGGCTGGGAAGTGCCCTTAGAAACATATATAGTCTCATAACATGTTTTGTGATTATGTGATAATTTTACAGTAGCAGTTCCTAAAATTGACAGAGCTTGACCATTTGCGCCACTAAATGTTTTGGATGTGGGAGTGAGCCTGATTTTCTTATTCAGTTTAATGTCGGAAGGCAAAATCGTTACGTCTGCTCCTGTATCAATTTTGAAAGGAACATCATCACTGTCATTCATATTTAACACTACAGACCATGGATCATCACGCAAGTTTTTTCCTACAATGCCAATGAATGTTTGAGGGTCTATGTACTGAGAGCAAACATTTTCAATGGGTGTTTCAAGGTCAGTATCATCATATTCAATTTGACTGACTTTGTTTGATTTGCAAACATTTGGAAAATGACCAACTTTTTTACAAAACCCACATTTGTATTGTTTAGCTGGACAGTTTAATCTTTTGTGTAAAACTGTCGAACCACACCAAAAACATCTCTTTTCGACATGGGACAGGCTTTTATTGTCATTAATCCGCTTAAAATTTTGATCATTGTTTGATTTATTGGGAATAATGTTTGTCTTAATTAAATGTTGAGTATTTTTATTTATTAATGCTATGTCAGTCAAGTTAAGAGTTTGTTTCTGTCTTGATAGTTCTTCAGATCTACGGATAGTGTTTATAGCTGTGTTTAGTTTTAATTCGGGTTCAAGTTGAAGACGATCACTTAGTGTTTCGTCCCGCATACCAATAATCAAAACCATCAGAATCATCTCCTCTTCAATTTGACCCCAATCACAGTTTTTTGCATGATTGTGAAGGTCTGTGATAAAGTTCTCAATCGGCATGGAACCTTGTGTAAGTTTTAGAAACCTAGCCCGTTCAAAAATTAAGTTCTTTTTAGGAAGGAAATGATCGTCAAACTTCTGTATAACAGCTTTGAAATTAGATTTGTCATTGTCATTTAAACTGAATGAATTAAGTATGTCCTACCGACTGCGCCATGTTCTATTTCTTATTTCAATAAAAATTAAAAGATCAAAAGAAACTAAACTGTTTTAATGAAGACACTAATACAAGACAATATTATTAAAGAAAAGTAAATAAAATCATATGGTTAAATATTAATTCAATAACCATAGAGGTTAAACAGTTATATGTAAAGGATAGAGTCTTTATGCCTAAAAAGATTCAGTTAAGACATCAGCAAGAAAACAAGACAAGAGCATAAAGAGTTAATTAAATTGTCATTACAATAACAAGATTAATATAAATTTGTGTCATTAAATACACAAGATGAAGTTAAATTGTCAACTGGAATAAAGTGTGCAATTGTGAGGTAGTATTTTAACTTCTTTATCCAGTGTGTGAAGTAGCTTTCAATTTTACTTTAGGGCCATGCATCACAGATCTATATAAAGCTTTTTTTTAGTTTAATAATTTAAAATATAAGTTCGGGTGACATTTAATCGCTAAGCATTTATTTTGGTTTGAAATGGTCAGATATTGTATTTGCGTTATATAAAGGTTTATGTGTATTTATATCATAGTTTTGCCTGCATATCTGAAAAAATGCACACTAAATATGCAAACCAGCTGCTGTTCTGAGAAGTCTTCAACTGATGTAACTGATTAGTCTGGTTTAAAGATAGGGCATTTGACAGGAATTATTGAGGAAATTGACAGGAAAGCAGGCTTACCTTAAATAAGTCCATAGAGACACATTATATATACAGCACAAAAGTAGAAATGTTCACCGGAGAAATGGAAATGGCAAACTACAACTGCCATTGCCGCTTCTCCAGTGTTTCCAAAAGTGGTCAGTGACTGTGAAAACTTAAACTTTTGTGTTTTATATTTTATGTGTCTATATGGACTTAATTAAAGGTAAGCCTGCTTTCCTGTCAATTTCCTTAATAGTAACTGATTAGTCGTCGGTTATTTTTGCCGTGAGTCAAAGAGTTAAATGCTTCCGATTCCATTCTTGCTTTTTTAGTCACTATATAAGTTGGATTTTCCCTTAACTTTATTTAAATAACATTAGGTTTAACAAGTACCTAGGTTTACTGTTACAGGAAGGGTAATAGGGGGTTTTTTAGTAAAATGTTATTATCTTAGTATAAAATAAATACATTTGCCTGGTTGTACTGAACAATAAACATCTTTTTATTTAATTATGTGATTTTTACTCCCTAGTGTAAAAGAATCAGCAACAAAATGTAAACCTACTCTTCAAAACCAGTAACTTACCCATGTTTTACTAGACAGTGGACTGAAGTAGATTACAATGTTTGCAGGTTGCTGATGAAGGTTCCACGGGAGGAAATGCTCTGACGACAGCTCAGTTTCACCCTGACGGTCTCATCTTTGGCACTGGCACGTCTGACTCTCAGGTCAAGATTTGGGATCTTAAAGAACAATCCAATGTGGCTAATTTCCCAGGTAAGAGCTTTGTTAACTACTGTACACCATGATATAATTTTTAGCGTTACATATATATATATAGGGGTGTGCAAAACAGCAAACAATTTTCGATTCGAAGCAACGATTCAATTCAAAAGATTTTCTATTCAAATCAAAGCAAAACAGCATTTCATACCTGTCAATGGAGTGAAATAACAATAATAATTCAAATTTACCACTTTTTTGTGTAATGAACATTTTTGTTGATGCGATATTATGCCTATTCATACATATCACATATGACATATACATTATGACTTTTAGGTGAAAAAATATTAATTTTCAATAATATATTAGAAGAACTTGTATTGCTGGGAATGTCAGTGAACTGCTTGCCTATTCCATAATTTTTACTTGCAGAATCATTTACCTATTTTATATTATTGATTTTACCAATAAAGATATGTTTTGGTGCAAACTAATAAAAAGTAAGATTTATACTGAAACATTCAATTGGTTTACATTGATAAAATAAGAGGATAGAATCAGACATACAGACTTCAAGGTATATAGGCCTATACATAACTTGTATGGCGAAGCAATGTCTCAGTGATTTAACTTATATAATTAATGGTAATAAATACTATAAACTAGTGGAACCCCGTCGAAATCGACGGTTAATCTTGAGGTTTTATGTAAATTCAGCTAACTGCGTTGGATAGAGTGAAGTCATTAAAATCTTAGTTATATGAAGGGAGGATAAGCAATAATAAGTATGACGATTGTGTTCCCTAAAAAACGTGATTGATGAATTCGTTTAACACAATATTTCCTAGATTCCTTTTTATCGGCTTTAGGTTGCCCAAAAGGTTTTTTAGGAGTCTTATAATTGTTTGTTCATGAGTTTGTTTCATACCAAAGCCACTTTCACTATATGGGAGAATGAGTTCATATAATTAGTCTATCATGTTACGGAAAGAGTCAATATTTATTACTAACCACTAATTCCATCTGCTTTACGAAAATCATTCAGATTGTATCCGGATTTATAAGTAAATCTTCATCTTTTTTTTTTATAAAAATATCTGATTCTCCAGAAAGCAGTAACATTCTTACTTCGATCTCAGCAATTTTAAATCCTTCTCTTGCCACATCGACCCATGTATTTATTTAATCATCCTGTTCTTACTTGATAATTCATTAACTTATGGGGTAGTTTTGCCTTGGCCATATAGATCACATAAAGCTGTGCATGTATTTCGTGGATTGGAATGAACCATAATTGTAGGAAATTTTATCACAAATCTTGAACATTTGCGGAACCAAATCCATAACCTAGTCCAGCATTGGTAACAAATTATGCAAATGCGATGAGATGTGATGACACTGTTGTGTTTCCGAATGTTTTGTTTGTAGTGAGGTTTTATATGCGTTGTTCAACCTAGCTACATGTGTACATCAAAGTAAAAACTGTGTACACATTTTTTTTTAAATACCTGAATTTACATTAGTTCACCTACTTTACCAAAACCATAGACTCCGTAGTTAGTCTATTCCAAAACTTGAACACAGCTCTCATCCTCAACGTACTCATCTATGACACAATTTTCAACCCGATTATCAAAAACTGTTATACCAATAAATGAATCTCAGGTGTTCTTTCTTGAATTTAAAAATAAATGGTGATTGAAAGTAGAAAAAAAGGCAAGTGCCAACCTTACAATATGTATAAGCTAACCCGATAAGGAATAGTTATATGTTCCTTTGAAATTGATAAGTCACACTTATTTCATAATTTAAAATTTTCTAAGAGCAATAAAGCATAGATTTTTGAACAAAACATTTCAAATGTATCATAAATTCATCATTTTGTTGAAACTATAAAAAAACTTGCCATGCAGTGGAGAATCCATTTAAAATCATAAATAATAATGTAAACATTTAATTTTGACAGTTTCAGTAGACCTTTGAATACAATTTTAATATTAACAGCTGGTTCATTAAAAGTAGTGTAAAATTAAAATTATCCATATGGTCGAAATGTAAACAAAATTGCAGAGTGAACTTTAAAGGCCTCTGGGGCAGAGCCCCAAGGAAATTTACATCGTTTCTCTTTTGAGGGCTCACCTACAGACCAATACAGACACCCCTACCAAGTTTCTACGCCCAGCCGTTCTCTCAAATTAGCTGTGACAAAAACCTCGTTTTCCTCCATAAGAATAACATGGGATGGGAATTTAAAGGCCACTGGGGCAGAGCCCCGAGGGAATTCTCCATGTTTCTCTTTTGATGGCTCATCTACAGACCAGGACCTTTCTTTAGACACCTCTACCAAGTTTCTACACCCAGCCGTTCTCTCAAAATAGCTGTCACAAAGAAAAACAGTTTCAAATTAATATATAGATACTGACAGTCAATGTCAATAACTTATATGGATACAGAGTCAATGTAACAGTATCAATGTTACAGTCAATATGGATTCAACAATGTATATGGATGCTGATTCAATAACGTATGGTAGGGATGGACAAGATTGGATTTTTTTTAGGCAAGAATATTTAAAATGTTTTCTAAAAAACATCAATAAAAACATCAGTATAAAAAACAAATATTAATTAGGCCTAAATTATTGAATATAACTCTTACACATTGGAAACATGGTGATATCAGTTAGTAGGTATACAGGGTAGTTCACATAAGGTGTCTCATATTGAATTCAGACAAACCGTTGGTCCTACAATCTATATAAATAAAATTACAGTTTTGTCTGTACATTGCTTAGAATCATGCAGTTTTTCGTTATTTTTACGTTTCATAGCCTAAGAAAGCCGAAACGAGTCTTATCTCAATTTCTGTCTGTATGTCTGTTTGTTTGTCTGTTTGTCCATTCTGTGGTTGCGTCTGTAACGCCAAAATGTCATTTTACGCGGCCTACTCCTAGAAAACTACAGTACCGATCAAGATTTTAATCATTTGTCTGTATTTACTGGATTGGTGAGAGTGTCTTTGGCTATAAAAACATGGCCTCGCTTCCTTGAAAGCAAAATAACGAACCATCAAAAACCCAATTTTGTTCGATTTTTGTAAAATTTTCTCCTAATGTTTGCTATTACATTTGGTGAAATAACGATCAGCTGTTTGGATTAGTTCTCACTTCTAGCTGTCACTGATATGTTTACAGTAAAAGTTGTTTACAAATACCGCAACCATTTCCGATCAAGTTTTGTTAGCACATCCAAACCAAGTGAGATTAAAAACGTTGTGCCTTACCTAACCGGTTTAATTAATCGCAAGTAGCTTACAAAAAAGGTTTCCACTCATTGACGGCGCTTCAAGGACATTTGTGTAAAGTGCAAAGTAAAAAATCACAACTGCAGTGGGTGACTGGGTGATCGTGGATGTTGCTGCGATCTTGGAAGATCTTTCTGATTTTGCTGTGATCGTAACAGAGGTTTTACTTACAGATGTAGCTAAACTCGCTTTTCCAATGTGTCACTTTTGGTTTTTACTACTTACATTTCGACAACGATATTGGTACTTTTCCTACTTAGGAAGTAAAACTACAAGTTTTTTGTCACATTTCCTCCGAATGTTTGCTAGATACTATGTACCAATTATCGTTTTGAGATTACGCATTCTTTTACATAAGAAACCTTTGTTTGGATAAAGGTGGTTTCTTCAAACTGTCATTAATATGTTAACATTGAAAGTTGCTTACAAATAATGCTATTAATGGGAAATAACTTTGATTTTCGAAAACTTAAAAGACATTTAAAACCAAGGGAGATTAATAACTTCGGTACTGCACCACATCAAGTGAAAGTTTTTTTTTTAGCGAACCATAGTGAGTTTTAAAGCTTTACGTTGTTAACGTTACATGTTACATGTTTAGTGGCCTGTGTATTTATTTATTTATATATTTGCCAACGGATTAACACCTATAAAACAGTTTGATTAGAAGGACAGTTTGAATTGGTTGTAAGTACTATGGTTCTTTTCTTAAATGTAAACGTTGGTTTATGGTACTGCTACTTTTCCTTAGAACCGGTGGTAGCAGTAAGAATCATTTTTACTTACAAACACATCACTATTTACAACTATAGTTATCGTTAGTGCTGCACCTTATTTCTTATTAAATTTAATTGATGTCCTACTGTATAATTTTTGCGTTTTCTGTCTGGACTTCAAAATGTTAGTTTATGCTATGTAATGATAAAACATTATTGAAAGATTTTTTAGCAAACCATCATGAATGTTTAAAGCTTGGCGTTGTTAACGTATACATTTTTTGTGGACTGTGTATTTATTTACTTATTTATATATTTGCCAACGGATTTACACAAATTTTACAGTTTGATTAGGCCTAAAAACAATTATCATAACAAAATAATTATTTGAAAGTTTTGATAGTGTCATCTATCAAAACTTTCAAATAATTATTTTGTTTGTAATTTGCTTTGGTTAAAGTGTAGCAAATCCCCTAATTCAATTCTGTATTTGTGTGTATTTACAATACAATACAATACAATATTCTTTATTGTTAATTCGTCAAGAATTACAATAGTGTCAATACAATAGTGAATTGTACATGTTAATTTTCATAAAATTCCTTTATTGAGTAGAAGGGTCTTGCGATTAGCCACTTCTTCAGCTCCTGGTGTAGCTTGTTGCCAGTCAGGTCTCTCAGGTAGTCAGGTAGATGGTTCCTCAGCTTGCAGCCGGTGTAGGAAGGTTTTTTCTCCCAAAGAGTTGTTCGGTGAACTGGTAGTGCAAATTTGGAGCCATGACGGGTGTTGTAGTGGTGCAGGTCTTGGTTTCTTGGGGGGTTTATTTCATTCACATACTTAATGGTTTCAAGTATGTAGAGAGACACCACTGTGAGGATTCCTAGGTTTACGAATGCTAGTCTGCAAGTCTGTGGTGGTACAAGGTTGGCGAGGGCTCTTATGGCTTTCTTTTGAAGGACAAGAATTCGATTCATATTTTTTGTTGAAGTTCCTCCCCACACTGTCAAGCCATATCTAAGATGCGACTCTACCAGTGCGAAGTAAGCTGTTTTGGCCACAGAGAGTCCGCCTATGTAGTTTATCCTTCTGACGACATATATTCCAGTACTGATTTTTTTGCTTAGGTGGTAGATGTGCTCTTTCCATGTCAGTTTGTTATCAAGGATAACACCGAGAAATTTTGTGTAGTTTTCTATTGTTACATCCTCTAATTGAGGGACTATGTCTTTTTTCTTACTGAAATTCAGAGTTGTAGTTTTTGTGGGATTTATTGCTAAGTCATTGTTCTTTGAGTAGAGGATAGCTTTATTTAAGATCGATTTTGAATTAAGGTAAAGGCTTTGGGCTGTGTTGTCCTTGATCAAAATGGTTGTGTCATCTGCATACATGATTGCAACAGCATTTTCACTCTCAATTTGTTTGGGGAAGTCATTAGTCAATAAGATGAATAGAATCGGGCCTAATACAGAGCCTTGTGGAACTCCTCTTGTCAGCTTGCTTTTTGAAGATTTGAAACTTTCTGTGACTTCATTTGATGAGTTTTTCAGTTCCACGACTTGTGAACGTCCCGTTAGGTAGCTTTTGAACCATTCTAGCGCAGAGTTTCTTATACCGAGTCTTTCAAGTTTCTTGCATATCAGGTCGTGGCCCAGGCAGTCAAAAGCCTTACTGTAATCAAGGAAGATGGCGGAAATGTATTGTTCGTTTTCTATCTGGTCTAGGACGTACTCAATTAGTGCTGTTATAGCTGAGGATGTAGATTTATTCTTCCGAAAGCCATGTTGGTTGTCAGTTAAGAGTTTGTTATGATTAAGATGTGCCATTAATCTAGCCAGAGCAATTTTTTCTATGATTTTAGAGAAACTGGAGATGAGAGAAATGGGCCTGTAGTTTTGAGCATTTTCAGTTGGTCCTTTTTTATGTTTGGGGTATATTTTACTGACTTTTATGGCGGATGGGAATTTGCCTTCTTTAAATGATTTATTTATAAGATAAACCAGAGGAGAGATGAGTTCACACATATTTGTATGTGTATGTCTGTTGGTAACGCATTAATGTCCTTATTTCTCAATGTTCTCTTGGAAAAGACAAGAGCACCTTTGTTAATGAAAATTTCAACCCGAATAAAGTGTGCAGTAGTGAGGTTGAGTCAGTATTTTTAACTACTTTTATTTAACCAGTGTGAAAAGTAACTTTCAATTACAGGCCTACCTTAGGGCTATGCCTCATAGATCTATAAAGCAATTCCTTTTATCATTAGATATAAAATATGGACTAACACGATCGGGTGACATTTAATTGCGAAGCATTCGTTTTGGCTTTGAGACTGTCAGATATTGTATTTGCAAAGGCTTATTGTATTCCTATACAGTAATAGTTTTGCCAGCATATCTGGAAAAATGCACACTAAATATGCAAACCAACTAATGTTCTGAATATAAGGTTTCAACTTACCACAAGATTCCCGTACGTAGAACGGGCAAACCAGCTAGTGATGAAATAAAATTATTTTCCACTAAATCGACCCCAAGGAATAACGTACAGTAGCACCTTGCTAATTCGACCTCGGATGGTCCGACTCCTCGCTTGGCCCGACCAATGCCGCGGCCACAATAGGCTTCCTACCTAACATAACCTCATTGTCCAAGAGAAATACCTAGAAAATTTTATAAATTGTGTTTCTTTAGTCTAATGTGTTGAAATTCGTTGTATATTTTACTATTTCTGCCCATTATTTATATGCAGTAGGCTCCCACATTATTGTTTTTAAAATATCACAGTTCATTTGAGAAAAATAAAATGGAAGCAAAGCAAAGAAATGTCGAACACAGCTTCAAGGTCAAGCTATCCGTTTGCACTGACAATCGTCTGCTCCTTAGGACTGAACAATCTGTCTGCTGTGCGCTTGCTATGTCACAAAATTTTGTGATTGGGTATTTGGTAACCATTACAACTTTAGTAGCCTGTGATTGGGTGATTATTAACCATGGTAACTTGTTGAATGGGTGGAGGAAGAGAAACTCAAGAAAGAATAAAAGAACAAAGATAAAGAATAAGTAGGGGTGTGTAAATAAATCGTGATTTTCAAGCCGAGCCGAGCCAAGCTTTTTCTTCTATTTTTCTTAACTGACACTTTTTTAATTGCAGGTCATTCTGGCCCAATCACTGCCATTTCATTCTCAGAGAATGGTTATTACTTGGCCACAGCCGCAGATGATGCTTGTGTAAAACTCTGGGACTTGCGTAAACTTAAAAACTTCAAAACACTGCAGTTGGATGATGGATACGAGATCAAGGACTTATGCTTTGACCAAAGTGGGACATACTTGGCTGTAGCTGGAACGGATGTCAGGTAAAATATTATAATTGTTGTTACAATAAAGTAAGTCCCACAAGCTGACACATCTGCAATACAGAGTTAAATGACCAACATTGGAGAGTACTCCTATGTGTCCGTCAATGAGATAACTTGAATAAATTTGTCCGATTTTGATGAAATTTGGCTTGAAGATGTAGGGTAGGATGAACTTGAATGAGTTCGCAAACCAGTATTATCAGACCATCGGAACGGGGTTTTATGGGGTACCTAAATATTAAGTTTTCTCATATTTTACCCCAAAACATAAAATGTCCCAATTTTTTCTTTAACCCATTTTAAAGAGCATAAAAATAAATAATTTTGTATATTGAAGGTTATCTGATAAAAAAAATAGGGCATTTGCCGGGAATTGTTTAGGAAATTGAGAGGAAAGCAGGCTTAGCTTAAGTCCATAGAGTGTGTTGTGTATAAATAACACAATAGACATTTTCAGCAAAAAATTGATTTTATTTCTCTAGTGGCTGAAAAAGTGGTCAGTGACCACAAAAATTTCTACTTTTGTGTTGTTTATTATGTGTATCTAAGGACTTATTTAAAGGTAAGCCTGCTTTCCTTTAAATTTCTTCAACAATTAATCAATTGAAGTGTTTTTGTAGGTACGGTTATTGGTTACGTAGAAAAAAAAGTAAATTTAAAGTTCCAATGTTATTCTTACAGAGAATAAGTAAATAGTTGTAGTTTGCTTGTTTGGATATACTTGTTTGGTTGATCAGCTTGGGAAATTTATTTTAATTTCATACTAAGCTATTCATATTTTATTAATAAAAAAACTCCACTTTATTACAGTTCTTGTAGCAGCAAACCTAGGTACTGTACTTGTTAAACCTTATGTTATTTAAATATATTTAATTGAAAATCCAATCAGGCAAAAGGAAATTCACTGAGTCTGCATGTTTGCTGCAGCGAGAGTATATTTTCTTGTCTGATCAAAAACAAACAATTGGCCATGCAATTTAAGGTACGGTATTGTTTTGTCAACCAAGAGACATCACTGTGGATCAAAGGTTGGTAGGGCCTAGGTATCCCGTCTTGGGTGTGTTACTCATCAAGGTGTTCGTATGTCGTGGGTCTTGGCAAAATTCTCAGATGGATGATGATGGATTCTCTGTGAGTTGCATCTCAGGTTAGGCATTTTGCTACTTTTCACTTGTCCTTACTGTGTGTGTGCGTGTCCACAAAAAAAGTTGTTTTTAAAAATTTGGATTTTTGGTGTAAGCTGAGGGATGCTATTATAAAAGTAGGCATATTTAAATCAACAAATAATCAAAAGGCTCACGACATTAATTCAGCTACCACTTCAACTTCAAGCCTCAAGTATCTGCAACTATTAACTATGTGGTCTAAATATGTTCAGACTTGAACTAAATAAATATTAGGGATGGACAGGATTGAGTTTTTATTTCGGGACGGGACAGGACGGGATTTTTATTTCATTTCCAATTTTCGGGATGGGATTTTATCCTGTATATAAAAAGAATTTGTTTTAAAAGTCTTGATTATTGCATTTACCAAAAAAGACAACAAAATCAATTTTTGCCGTTTGTGGCACTGATCTATAACAACCAAAATATAGGTAAAAATTTACAGGTATAGAAACTCGAGACTCGTGGTCATGGTGCAATGGTTAAAATGACTCGGCGGACACGACGCAATCGTCGAAATGACTCGTGGTCACGTCACGATCCTTGAAATGACTCGTGTTCTGGGCGCGATGACCGGTTTTTACGCGGTGACTCGCGTAATGAAGGTCAAAATGACTCACGGTCACGCTGTGATCGTCGTGATGATTCGGGGTCACGGTGCAATTGACGTAATGACTTGTGGTCATGGCGCGATCGTTGAAATGACTTTGCCTCCTTCGTTTGCAGAACTATTGTGAAGATCTCTTGCGATAGTGGTGTAGTCGTCATTCTCGAATGGGCAAAATCGCCGACGATCGGATCAAATCCCGTCCCGAAAATCGGGAATATTTTTTCCTAAAAATTTACAAAAATTTCAGGACCTGTCCATCCCTAATAAATTTACTTACTAAATGTTAATATTTATTTAGTTGAAATATTCGATAGTGAGAACATTAATGGTACAGGTAAATAAAATTGTTTGCAGGGTTTACCTGTGTAAGCAGTGGCAAGAGTTGAAGGTGTTCAATGACCACACAGCCATGGCGACTGGTGTGAGGTTTGGCCGTCATGCTCAGTACATCGCCTCTACGAGCATGGACAGAACACTCAAACTCTACGGAATATAACTCGATACTCTGTCTCTTGAAGGCTAGTCTGTACCTCCCCACAATCTTGAATGTAAGAAAAACTCTATTGTTTTATTTACTTTGCAGGTTTATAACACATACATGAGGGTGTAACAATGTGATTTACTAATTTAATACACAAACCTTTGTACGTTTTCCTTGCACATTGTATTAGTCTTAAAGGTAGATCTTTTAACTTTAATATGACCATCCTGAATATCATAAAATATAATCATATTTCAACAATTAATGTGAAAAAACCTTAATATTTTCTTAGCACAATTTTTACCTACTAATAAATGGTAAAATTATATTTATAACAGAAAGAGGTACAGAGAGTCAGTTTAAAACAGAAGGACATTATATACTTCTACCTTTGTAAATAAACAACTATTTTTAATGTGACCATTTTAGATTTTAGTGTTATAGAGTGTTAAGTTCTCCGATAATGTAAGTGTTCTGATATTTGGACTTAAAATGAAAACATAGTTGATTAACATCAAATTAACGTAACCGTAAAAGATGCTATGGCTTACAATCAGTTGTCCTGTCGGCATATTTGACAGAAATCAGTGATTTAAATCAGCACACTCTAACTTGTAAAGTTTCAATTTAACTATGACAAACTAGTGACTATCTATAGGAATTTCTAGTTCTTTCAATAGTCAAGGGTGTTACCTTATGACACAATGTTGAATACTGCCTAATTTAATTTTCATTCATTGATGCAGCATATGGTTAGTTTAGCTAATGGTAAGTTGTATGTTATGTTTAAAAATCTTTGAATGGTTAAATATACTCTATTGATTTTGCTAAATCATTCAACTAATGGAAAACAAAAATTATAAAAAAACTACTAATTATAGTTTTGGTTGACCAATTTTGCCTTTTTGGTAGTGATATGTTTACTTTTACTAATGGGGAAGTAGCCATTACTGAAGCTCGCACGGTAAGACCTAGACTGTGGAACAGTTTAATTTGTCAATCAATGCGATAACTTGAGTAATTTTTTAATTAATTATGGTACAATTTTGATGAAATTTGGTTTGAAGGTGGAGGACTTTACCACCCTCCCTGTAGCAGCAACCCTAAGTAATTAAAATTCATTTTCATAGCCCCAGGATTGCGTTAATATGACAAATAATGGTTAAACATACCTCGTCAGACAATCTTTAACATGTAGTGTCGAAATTGCTACATATGTTTTGTTGGCTATTTTAGCATCTCTGCCATTGTCAGGCAAACAACCTAAGTACCTAAAAACCTAAGTACTCGTTTAACCTATTGTTATTTAAAAGGGGAACAATTATGACTTGTTTATGGAAATATTTTAGTTAAAGTCCAATCAGACAAATTGAAATTCACTTAGTCTGCAGGCTTGCTGCATCAAGAGTATTTATTTTCTAGCAGTTCAGATTTATATAGCTACATTTTATAGTAATTTGATGTTCCATCTTTTGAGCGGTAAAAAACAAAACCAAATAAAATGTATCGGTTCTATTTGGTTTCTGATTTTAAAAATTACATAGTTAATTGTTTTTTATTATTTTAGTCCATGTGAAACTACAAAATCATTTTGTGTTGAACTACAACGTATAAAAATTTTTTAAATAAATTATTTAATACATGTTTTTGTATAATTTAAAACCTTAACAGCTTCTGTAATAGTAATAATTTACAAAAAAAACTAGAGATTTGTCTTTACCAAAATTTATCGATTCTCAATACTGATACTGATATCTGAGAAACTGATTTTCGATACTGTTGCCAATTTAAAAAATATATGTTAAGTTCTTACCGTCTACGTAATCAGGGGCTATACTTTTCTTCAATACTTTCTTTTAATACTTTCTTATTAAATGGCACCACGGCCTTTTCAGAGATAGATAACTCCATCTTCAGGTGTGTAGTGGTACACTAAACTATTGTCCTAACACGAAAAGTCTACATCTGCGTTACATCATGGGTTAAATAAATATTAAATGTTTTCCTTACTTATTACTTTCCTTACTTATATTATTCCATATTATCCTTGCTTCTTTAAGTTTGTTGTCATTTTCAAACTTTGGAAACATAAAAATCACTAGGTGCTGGATAGGGGTTTGGGATGCAGTGAAAATCTTTCAATTCTATGCAAAGATTCGATTTAAAGAGTTTTCCATTAGAATCGAAGCATTTCAATTCAAAGCAATGGCATTATCCTACTCAGCTTGTCAATGGTGGAGCAAGGCCACACTAAAAAAACAGGCCGTAATGCTCGTCAAGCATGAGGTCATGATAGAAGACGGTAATGATGTATAAATATATTTTCTATTGTTTAGGCGCAGTGGTAGAACATTATGGCTATGGTAAATGTGCTATACTATAGTATACCGTAAATTATAGTAAACCAAATTCTTTTAAAACGTCTCCTCTCCCATTGCAATAAGCATTTTATAGGCCCTACTTATACGCCAACTCCCCGTATGAAGTACGAGTACTCTGCTAGTAAATATATAAAGAAAGATTTTATTGATTGTATGTACAATTTATTTATACATGGTTTAATACATTTTTGTATTATTATATGTATAAAAAAACAGGGTTCGTGTAATGTTTCAACACAGTGAAAAAAACTCTTTGTGTCACCGATCATGTTTTAAAATGAAAGACACCACCAAGGTTAAACAATGTTTGAGGGAACCTGAATTCTAACTGGAGGGTTGGCATGGGTTGAACTACAAACTTTGTGGGATGGGCATCCCTGTGTGGTATTGTTGGTGAACAAGTTAAATGCATCTGACTGGCTAAATATATAAGTTTCTTTCAAGAAATCAAAGAAGAAGCGTGTGGAAAGATGGATGGAGAGTTTTACCGGAAGTCAAGTTTGATGGAGCTTACAAACTTCGCTGATTTGTTTGGTTGACTGGCTAAGCCTGCTTTTATCCTGGATAACTTGACATAAGGTTTTCTAATTTATTTTATCGAATAATGTTATATTTGATCTTATGATATTCAGTAAGCTATGATTAGCATTAGGGTTAGGGTAGATAAGGGCTTTTTTATTTTTTTAAGGGGTAAAAGGATTAAATTTGTGTTTTCTTTTTAACATCATATATAGAATTGGGTTGGAACCCACTATACTGCATTATGAAGAATGATGTAATTGGTTTGACTAGGCTTTTATAAAAATATTTCTAATTTGTATAGCAAGAATACATTAATCAACCATGTTGTGTTTTAAAAAGATAAAAAATATTACAGCATTGAGACAAATTTATCCAATACCGGTACCTTACTTATACTGAATGTAAACTAGTTTGAAAGTCTATGAGATAAATTAGTTGATTTGAACTAAGAAGAAGAATCAACTCATATGCCATAGGTGTTAAACTATGAGTATTTTCTACCTTACAGTTGCATGTTGTTTGTGTGTAGAACTGTGTAGTATAATTAGCTAAGCCATTTATCTCACAGGCACTTTTGGTGTCAACCTGTTGCACAAACATTAGCTCATGGATAATAAATGTTTACACTTAAAACAATGTAAAAACAAACATCCAAGTTGATATGGAAATTGAAAACAATAAATTTGTAAGTCTTATTGGTTGAATATATTGTTCAACACACAGATTTGTGTAAGGAGATATCATTTTAAAAATCAACTCCATTACTTAAACATTTTAATTTACAGGCATATCTATCTTTGTATAGGTTGGCCGGTTAGAAAACGACCTGCGCGAAATCTTTAGTGCATGTACGGGAGGTAACGGCGAGGGAGGGTATGTTCCCCCTCTCCGCCAATGGACGTTTTCACACTGCACGACACGACACCGGCACGGGTACCGACACGGCGCCACCCCGGTGACGTGGGAGTTAGAATCCTGTGTTACCAAACGGAACTGCTTACACAATGATATAATAACATTTCATTATGCTCAAATATTGATGCAATTTAGGCTATACAATATGCAGGACCTACTTTTCTCCAAGTTATGAAGAACGTAATTGTTTACATTTTGATCAGCTGTATAATTTAATTTGATTAGCTGTGTTCGGAAGGTTGGGGGTGGGGCGGCAGCGGAGTGGGGGAAGAGCCATAGTCTGTCTCACTCCCACAGCTCGGTATCTCTCTCTCTCTCGCACCAATGCTACAAGGAGGACGCTTTCTAACCGGCCGACCTATAGTAAGATTTTTCATCACAACAAATATGTATGTGGACAAATCTACAAAAATCAATAAATTGTTTCAATAAAACTACATGTATAGGTACCATAAACTAATACTTTGGGAGTTCAATTTTCATCAGATGTGAAGAAGTGTCTCATGATTGGAAAATAAAAGATAGGCCGCCTAGCAGTTTTTAGAGAAAGGGTAGTTTTAGAGGAGGGAACCATAATACTGTACCTGTATCTATGTGGAGGAAACCACAACCATCCAGCTGCAATATACTATACCCAACATGGTATGACGGGATTAAAAAGGTTTGTTCTAAATCATTCCTAAATACTCTAGTGAAACTACCACTACTCTAGGTCTAGTGGGATCTAGTGTGGATACATAGAAATGTTATCTTTAGTTGCAATTTTAAAACTGGTTGAACATTTCTTAAATTTGTGTAACAAATTAAAACTTTTGAGTGCTATTTATTCTAGAAATTTGCTCTAATCTAAAGTCATCTAGAATTTAAGCATTTATGGTCGTTACATAAAAGTATAGCACACCATAGGAACAATCACAATGAATTGACAAGGGTCAAGCTAAGCCAGCTAATCAACTCTAGCAACTTTCTGTCCACGTCCAAACTCTTTAACTTCTTAAACTCTTTCTGCTAATCAAGTCAGGTGAAAACTTTATCTTGTTTTGCACTGCTATACCTTGATTTTATGATATTTTGCCGCTCTATTTATCATAATAAAAGATAGATTTTTATTTCCAATCAGATAAATCAGATTGCCCTTGCTTCAAGTTCTTTGATAATTGCTCTTTTTTGCAAACACTCCAAAACTTGAACGGACACTCAATACATGAGACAATATACTGAGTTGAGATAGGTATCGCAGCAACACTCTTGCATATTTTGCGTTCTAGTGATACCATGATATCATATCCCGTGACCTGGAAACACTCGGGACTATCATATACTGTGGCCCCTGTGTTGTGATAATCAGTTGATAATATAAATATAAACCAAAATAAATATAATACTAGCTGTTAAGCCTTATTACCTGTGTAAAGGCTTATACAGATGTTTCATCTCAATATTCATATTCATATTCATATTCAAACATCTTTATTCGTAAATCATGTACATTGGTGGTACAGTGAATAGTGTCAGAATACTTAAAATAAAAATACTATTTCTATTTATGGGAGGTGGAAAATTCATCAAAAGAATATAATGCTAGATTTATTAAATGCTCCTTTAGAATTTTCTTGAATTTAGATAGGTTCGTTTCTTTTTTTATGAATTCAGGGACAAATTTTAGAAAATCATTACCAGCATATGAGGGTTTTTTTTTCAAAAAATTTTAATTTGTGAGGCTGGACAAACTCCCTTCTCCTCCTAAAATTATAAGAATGCACTGAATTTATTACTTGCTCAGATTCATTTTTTTTTGCGATAAGAATTGTTTCATAAATATATTGCCCATAAACTGTAAAAATTTGTAATTTCTTAAAATGTTCTTTTGCCGAATCATCTCGTTTAAGCTTAAGCATAATTCTGATAGCTTCTTTTTGTCGCTTCAGAATACTATCCATATTTAATATTTTTGTTGACCCATATAATGAATGCTAAAGCGAATGAAATATGGGAGTGAATGTGTGCAAAATATATACTTTTTAGGGTTTTCAAATTACAATAAAAGGACATTTTTGATAATGCGAACATTCCAGAGTTAGTTTTGGTTAAAACTTTCTGTGTGTGCTTATCCCAATTCAAATTTTCATCTATTGTTAATCCCAGAAAATTGATTTGATGTTCCTTTTGAATATTATTTGAGTTGTAAGTTATTGTTGGATCTTTTGTAATTCTGTTCTGTGCTGTTCTGAAATTTATAAATTTAGTTTTTTGTGAATTTAATAATAAGTTATGATTGTAGAAATAGTTCCCAATATTCTCTAATTCTACATATGTAAGAATTTCAGCTTCTTCTGGAGAGTTAGATGATACAATCAAATTAGAATCATCAGCGTAAAGACATAATTTAGAATTTTGCTTGTAGGTTAAAGTATCTTCCATGCCCTTGAGGTAACACAAAAATAGCAAAGGCCCCAAAATTGAACCTTGTGGCACCCCAAATTTAATTGGTTGATAAGTTGATGATGATTTGATAATTCTATTATGATTTGTCAAATGGGTAATTTCCACGAATTGAGATCTATTTGTCAAATAGGAAGAAAACCAATTAAGAGCTCTTTTTGATATTCCAATTATTTTAAGTTTTTCTAGTAATTTACTATGTTTTACACTATCAAACGCTTTAGAAAGGTCCATAAATATGCCAATTGTATAATGTCCTTTGTCTACTGATTCAATGACTGATTCGATAAAAGAAACAGCTGCGCTTACAACTGATCTTCCATTCCGAAATCCATGCTGATTATCATCCAAAATATTAAATTTTTCCAAGAACTCGGATAATTGTAAGTATACGGCTTTTTCATACACTTTAGAAATTGAAGGAAGAACAGACACTGGGCGATAATTGGATATAATTTCAGGGTCATTTTTTTTGTGTAAAGGAATTATTTTTGCCTGCTTTAATATGTTAGGAAAAATGCCTGAAACAAACGAAGAATTGATCAGATGACAAACAATTTTGCTGATGTAGGTTTTTGCAGCCTTTATTATTGTTACAGGAATTTCGTCATGTCCACTGGAGTGTTTATTTTTTAAAGATTGAATTATTTTTTCCACCTCCCTTTCAGTGATCGGTTTCAGTTCAAATTTTGGCTTTACAAACAAGTCATCAATAAAATCAGCTTTCACATCAGCCGTCACATTCTGAT